CTTCCTTCCTTCCTTCCTTCCTTCCTTCCTTCCTTCTTTCCTTTCTTGCTCCAGCAGGCCGGGGGGGGGGGCCTTGTGAAACATCCAGCCCCACGGAAATTGTGAATGTTGCGTCTTTTTTAAAGTGTTGTCTTTGTCTTTGTCTATTTATCCCCTTTCCCTTGTCTATTGTGAGCCGCCCGGAGTCCTTCGGGAGTGGGCGGTATACAAGACAAATAAATACAATACAATACAATATATGCATCTATCCATGGTACAAACATACATTGACAGCTTCTTTATATTCCACTGTGTCCCCATGTTGCTCATCCTGATCCAAGTAGGATTAAGGTATTTTTCTTATATTTATTTTGATAGCCTCAAGCTGTCTAAAATTTAGTAAGCTTTCTCACCCCTTACCTTGGAGGAAAGTGAGCTAATGGTAGAGACTGGGAATAGAGATAAGATAGGGATTAACAAAGGGCTCAGCAAATATCATGCCAGTATTCTTATCTGCTGACTGGTAGATGGCTGAACAGCACATCAGAAACGGGGAAAGACCCACGAACTTACCAGGATGGGTTTTGCCAAATCACTCTTTGAGCTTGACTCCCCCACTTTTGCAATAGGAAACATGTCGCTTATACTGGCATGTACTAAAACTTCTTTAGGAGGTCACAAGATGGTTAAATTAGGCATACAGATCCAGATAAACCACTCAGTTTGGAGATTATAATCACGGCGCAAACCAGTTTTCAGTTCTTGATCTCCTGCTGGTGCAAATGGTATGAGCAGGCAGAAGCAGGAGAATTTCCAATTGGATACCAGTAGGTTTTGGTGCAAGCAAGGCGTTTTTGAACTACAGGAACCTCCCTGCTCCCCTCTCCTTTGCTTAACCAGCCTTGGAGAAGCTGTCCTTGTTTTGACTTAATTTGACTCAGGTGAGTGTGGCACTGTGTTGCTGCAACTTACATCCCAAGGGGATGAAGTTGATTTAGTCGGCTGCGATGAGGGGTCTGCCCTGAATGAAAGGGACTGGGTTTAAGCATGCCTGAAACGTCTACATTCCATCCTGGAAGCCCTGGTTCTTACCCCTGAAGGGGAAGATTGGGAGGGGAGCCAGATTCCTGGGTTCTGTCATGAAAGATGGGGCTCGTGGGGCACCCTTCATCAGTGTAAGTCGATTAAGAGCCGTTGTTATGGGGAAGGGTTGGAAGACATGATGCTTGGATGGCAGTCATTTCATTTTAACCATTCAACAGCAATTTCGATACATCACATGCTATTGGTCATATCTCATCATGCTCCTGGTCAGGGAACTTCCTTGATCCAAGAGCATCAACTCTCAAGGCGGGAACATTTTTTTTTTTACATGCTAAAAGAAAAAAAAAAGAATTGCAACAAGGCACATGTCCCGCCCCCTCTTTGAGGCAAGGGATAGGTGGGGGAAGGCTGCAACCAGAAAGCATGTAATTAGAACATAGAAGCCAGACATGGGTGTCTTTGGAATCATGCCGCTCACATGGACCACTGGTGACCACTCATACCTGTGTACAAATGCTATAAATATCCGAGGAGGAACAGCCTACCTTCCTATGAGTTCTGGGTCCCACCTGTCCTCCAGGGACCTTAACTTGTTGTTGGGTGATGATTGCATTGAAAATTGCCCACAAATTTATGAGCGCAACTTTTATTGCGCTTGATCATCCTTGCTTTAATTTTTGTTTAAAAGGAACAGTTCTTTATACGCCCAGGTAAATCAATGCAGATCTTTATAAGCCCAGGTGAATCAAATTAATTATTAATTAGAATGATTTCGGGTTGTTTCCAAACTGCAGGATTCTAAACTTACCCAGTCATTATTTTTTTCTGCAATAAATTGTATGCTGAGTGGTAATTGATCACTTTCGTGGGGAGATATTTCACCCCCACCCCACCCCCAATCTACTAGAAGATGTAATTTAACTTTGTGGGTAATGAGTAATTTAAGTCATATATTTATAAATTTGGTTCCACCACAAATCC